TAATATATTAAAAGTTAGGCCTTTTTGGTATAGAAAGGTTTATTTTTTATGAAAATTCTTTTATGCGGTAATGTCAAATAGTATACCTACATAGCTCAAATCCGTTCGGGTTAATTTCTATATCCAATTACTATTGTGAACTTTATTGCGACTTTAATTAAGTAGTATCGAAAATTAAAAGTTCTTACTATATGAAGATTGAATTTTTGGTAGTTAATTTTTAATAGTTACGTGGGGGCGGTTCCAACAAATTAACCCGTCCAAATTTTTCACATTAACTTGGAATGTGGAAGCAATGTTAAACAGTAGTTTTTGTCATAGGAAGAGTAGTCGAAGAAATGACACAATCGAATCCATTTTCAATGCGATGCGTCCTTAGGCCAAACAACGTTTATGTACCGAATTTGATTAAAGTATGTCAAAAATGTTGACTTTTAGGCTCAGCAAACATCAGGAAAACACAGACAGGCAAGCTTAGATCGATTTAAAATCTAGACCTATTTTAAGTCCTTCTATGTATTACATATATACAACAAGTAATTTATGTAGAATATGTATACTGCGTACCATTCGTTTTCGATTATGAGAATATGGTAATAGAAAATTTTTCTGGCTTTCACAGGAAAATAATGCCTAATATTTAGTTAATTATGGGTATTATAAGGTGTAAAACTATTCTTCATTTAAATAAACGAAGTTTGTTTGGAGCGGACTGAAAAATGTGAAGCAAAAACTAATGTAATGTAATGTCCGAAAACAATTTTCGCCGTAATAAGGCAAATAATGTTTTACCAAAACCTAAATTTTCAAAGCATCTAGCATTTCCATCAGATCAAGATGAAAAAACCAATCATTTCACGCCACTACGAATCTCTACCATAGTGTTAGAGCTCTGAGGAATTGCTTTCTTTTGTTTTTAAGCCAACTTGAGAGCTAAAACATCCAAAGCGAGCCAAGCTCTTTATGGTTAAGCGCAATATCGAAAGTACTCTGACACAGCTGCCAAAGAACGCTGAAACCTCTCATCATCGCCACCTCTCTACCTACCGACCGTGAACGGCATTGATTTACTCTGACACTATAGTCGATTTTAGGGGACATCGTATTCCATCACATCTGAAATCATTAAATCGGTGATATAATGCACAATTTTAGTACTAACGACAATTATATTAATCCTTATCGAAATTGGCAAAAAATTATCGTGGAAGGTTCTCTATTTTTCTATCAAGCCTATGAAATCTGTTTGGTCATGCTTTTCAAATCATTTTTAACAGTAATCTGCGTGCAACAACTTTCAATATTTCTACTAAATTTGAAGGCGATAGCTTAATTTTTACGGGTAGAAGAATCTCTACGACAGACATTAGATAGATGGAAAACGTGTAAAAACGCAGTGTATTCACTATATTGCATCAAAATTTAATCTAGGGATAGCTGTTTTCCAAAGAGATGCCACGTTCACTTCGCAAGGAGCCACGATTATACCATGTCACAAGTCGATAGCTCCAAGGGCAAAAGTTCGAATTGCTCCCCCTCACCGCGTTCCGAAGATCTACCTTCCAGCTACTATTATCTGTGTGCAAATGTCAAAAGTAAACTGCAGGGGAAAAAATTCATATCAAATGATGAATCATTGCGTAAATTGAAATGCATTTTGACGCTCTTAATAACGTATTCTTTAAAAAAGCCATCGAAATATTACAGAACTGTTGGATTAATTGTATTGCATTTAAAAGAAATTGTGTTGATAAGTAAAGTCAAATTTGAATCCCGGGAATTATTAATCAAAGTGTTACAATCACTTGTGGGATGAAATTAGTGTGAAATCTTTTTGAAATGTAATACATTTGTGCATTCTTTCTATTAATTACGATAATTTAAATACATATAGTTCTCCTGTTCTTAATAATGCGATTACGCGGTGATGCTCAATATTTTTACCGGGTTAGTAATTTTGCTCATTACTTCAGCTTAATGCGTTGGCCGTGGAATTTTGGATCAGAAGGAAGAAAGTCATAAAAAAGGATGTAAGGGCGATAGAACTTGCAGTTAGGCGAACGTGAAGTTCTTCAAAAATGGTTTAAAAGTTCGGGCATTTAGATTCTATTTTTATACCCATCACCGAAGGATGAATTCTCATAACTAAATCAATAACGCCTTGCTTAGCTAAACTTATGTCAATTTAGATATGCTTAATGACAAAAAAACGTTACGGCATCCCTTCCCAAGATTCGAAATGCTTGCAGACTAAGTTGGCTAAGCTTATTGCTTCCGTGGGCGAGGTGTTCCTCATATTATTGTGCCTGGGGCACAAATTCTAAACGAATTCTACATCTCTACAAATGATTTTCTGTTAAATTTCCTGCTAAACCTTTCTTCCTATTCTTCGTTTTTATATCCGTTATAAGAAAGCTTCGGAGACCCTACATAGTATGCATATTCTTGTTCAGTATCAAATTCTGAATCGATTTAAGCATAACCGTCTGTCCGTCTGTGTAATGTCCGTTTTGAACATCCTCCTGGCCGCAAGAATTAAGCTATCGACTTCAAATTTGACAGAAACATTCGAAGTTCGAAGCACACAAATTGGTATTGAAAAAAGGCCAAGTCGGTAGCAGGACGCGCTCGCAGAACCACGTAAACCGAGAACAAAAGGAATAAAAATTTTTTTGTTTTTCCACTTCCACTACATGGGCGTTATATCAGCGGTATAATTTAATTTACGGGATGTATTAAATAAACACATTTTTTATTTTTTCCAATTTTCGATAGGTTTTTAACCGATTGGATATGTTTTTACACTCATCCTCCGATAGGGGGACGTTCTCCAAATATAAATATCGCAAATTCAATACATATTCTAAATTCGCATAAACCGCTTTAATACTATCTGCCTCCCCTGATCGACCTGGGAAAACTGAACATGCTGTGAGGGCTAAAGCCCATACCCGATGCTGGGGTGAACTCAAGCGCTCCCGGTTTTGTTTCACAAGAATTTTTCCGTTGATGTTTTATTTATCTTTCTTTTGTAATTTCTATGCGAATTTAAAATTCTTTCGGTTTTTTTGTTTCACAATTTCAAACAGCATTTCACAAATTCTATTAGAATCCTTGAATTCAAATGATCGCTTATTTTGCTTCCATTTATTCTTTTATGACAATTTTTAGACTTCAACTTGAAATTCTCTTTGCACTTGATTAGTAAATAACTGAAGATGAGTTTTCTTTGTTCTACTTCAAAAATAAATTAATTTCCGCCTGAGTAGCCGAAGGGGAGGAATCTCGACTAGCAAGTCAATGGTCGTGGGTTCGAATCTCAAGTGCGGTAGAGTTTTTAATAAAAAGCCGATAGCCTTAGATGCTAGTGCTTTTAAGAGTTTAGTCTTAGAATTTATTTCTCCGGCGAAATTAATAATAATAATAATAATAATAAATTAATTTTCTTAATTTTAAGTCCTATTACTACCATCATTGTAACCGCACCAACCAGACTAAAAACATCCACTCTTGCACTCACCTCTCAACCGACAAACTTTCTCTCATTTACTCTAGCACTGATACACATGACTAAACTTCGGCTTAAGCTAATCACTCTCACCTTGTTCTGAATTCTCTTTACTCTAATTTCTCTTCACTTAATCCTAATTCTGCCTAACTTACTCTAGCACCCCCTCAGAGACGAAGAACCTGTGAAGTCAAAACGAGGGACAACTTTGGCTCCTCAAAATGCATACAATTGTACTTTACATCACTCGTGGCACAGAGTATAGTAAGTTGGTGCAGACAGCTGTAACACCCAGAAAGGCTTAACATAGACCCATCTTTTGTTACGCCGATCGATTCAGAAACTGATTGGAAGCTTGTGGACAAACAAGCGAACAGGTTTACAGGACGAAAGCTATTAAAAATGGTTCGAATCAGACCAATTTTTTGACCACGCCGAATATTGCAATTATTATTTCGCTGAGTAATAGTTATTCCACATTTTAAATCGGTGTGAAAATCCTGGATCGAATAGGGTAATTTTTTAAACCCTTCCCATGTTCTCATAGAAACTGGATCTTTAGATAATAAAAGGGTCTAATTTTCAATAAATCTTGATGGTAATTCGCTTATGATAATAATTTGATGAAAAATTGAATTTACCGAGCTTGGACCGCATAAGTTTATTTTTTGAATGCCAAACCATGCAAGGGTTCAAATAAAAAATAAGATTTTTAGTATGCCATAAGGTCTATTTTTTAATATTTTACGGTGAAAATTTGTTCTTAGCAAATCAATCACAGGCAATTTGAGTCACATAGATCTATTTGTCAGACCGCCGAATATTTTGGGCTTCTCATGGCGTCATAACCTAATTTGTGGTCTAACAGGCCACGGAAAAAGTGAAAACTAATAAAATTTTGACAAGTACATTAAGCTTGCTAATTTTGGACCATTTGAGTAAACTCCATTATGAGGGTCTTCATGACATTTATGCATTTACATAAGCGAAGTGGTGCAGTGTGTCCTATGGGCAGCCTTGTTCGACTATGCCATTCTTATCTGTTTCTTTCGAATTTGAGAATAGCATGTACGGCGAGGGAGGAAGTAAGTGCAGACTAAAGGAAGTGGAAAAGCAATTCCAAACAATTGATTTTGCATCAATTTCGAAGATAAAATTTGAAAATAAATGCAAGGCCTAACATATATTACTATTTAAAACAGGTGGAAAATTAGGACAATGCAAAAAAAAAAATAAAAGTTCTAATATGTTTCTTCAAACTACATCCACAGTATTCGGAAATTGTCTTGAATATCATTGGGTGTACATCATATGCTTATGTTTGCTTATTGCATCATAAGTATTGTACTTGTACTTCTTTTTTCAGTCCTTATGGCAGATGTTATGTTAAGAATTTTTAGAGAATTCGGGTTTTCTATGGAAATAATTGCTAAACAAAAAGTTAAATTCATATTTATTATAATAATAATTTTTGGTGTTCTTTCTATTTTAGCTGAAAATGAAAACATGAATTGTGTTGAAATCTTGGCCACCGTTGTGTCGATCATACTAATGGTTCTGACATTTCCTATATCGATATTTATATGCTTTAAGGTTGTGTCGGAATATGAACGTGCGGTCATCTTTCGAATGGGACGTTTACGAAGTGGCGGCGCAAGAGGTTAAAATTGTTTGTAAATAAAAGAAAAAAAGTCCATTTATTTAAATGAAATATATTTAATAATTACAGGACCTGGAGTATTTTTTGTCTTGCCATGCGTAGATGATTACTGCAAAGTAGATTTGCGTACCGTATCGTTCGATGTACCACCGCAAGAAGTTCTATCCAAAGATTCTGTAACGGTTACAGTGGACGCTGTCGTCTATTATCGTATTAGTGATCCTTTGAAAGCAGTTATACAGGTCTCAAATTACAGTCATTCGACACGTTTATTAGCTGCCACTACGTTAAGAAATGTTTTGGGTACACGCAACCTATCCGAATTATTAACTGAACGTGAAGCTATTTCACACACGATGCAAGTGTCTTTAGATGAGGCTACTGACCCTTGGGGCGTTAAAGTGGAACGTGTAGAAATGTAATAAAAACTAAGAACTAAGAAACCAACGAAAAAATTTTTGTTAACTTAAAAAAAAACATTTGAAAGATTTATCGTACCATGAGGCTAATTTTGATAAATGAACTGGATTTCCTTCTTTCTTTGCGCAGTAAAGATGTTTCTTTGCCGACTGCTTTACAAAGAGCGATGGCTGCCGAAGCAGAGGCGGCCAGAGAAGCTCGAGCTAAAGTTATAGCTGCCGAGGGAGAAATGAAATCCTCAAGAGCTTTAAAAGAAGCTTCCGACATTATTTCCGCCAGTCCTTCAGCTTTGCAGGTACATAACATTGAAAATTTGATCCTTTTCTTTCAATTGTCAATTACTTACTTTTTAAAGCTGCGTTATTTGCAAACATTAAATAACATATCTGCCGAAAAGAATTCAACGATAATATTTCCACTACCTATGGAACTGCTACAACCATTCTTGTGTACCGGTCATTGCAATCACAAGCAGAAACAATGACAACCCACGAAACAGTTACAGTATTACATTGATGCGCTGCGTTGTTATGAACTGCCGAACAGTAAATCATAGGCGAAAGCAAGGAACTTTTAATAAAGTTATTTAATTAAACTTTTATTGTTTCTTTCATTCATAAAAATTTTCACAATAAATATATGTTATTTTTTACAAACCCCAAATCCTCGCTGGTTAAAATTTCTTTATAAAATTTTTGGAATTCACTACCACCCGCTATAACAGCAATTCTGTTATAATGTTTCTTTTCCATTGTCTTCGATTCTATTTGCTTTAGGCTTTGAACTGTTAACCGATAAGGATAAATGTTTTCCTTGTAAGTTAATTGCTTACGAAAATTTAAACATCTGTCCAGACAATGGCCCATCTGCTTGCAGTCAGTACTTTCACATAATTGTTTTGATAAATATATAAAACACTTATAGTTCCAATAATGATTTAAATCCTTTAATTTATTACGAAAATATATATGACGCACATGCTGAAAGCAGGCTACGTGTACAATACGTGTCATGTCCTCTTCATTGTTCAATATTTCCTCAATGATGGCTAAAGTTGGAGCTATTGCTATACCTTGACTAATTATCATTTGATAAGTTTTCCCTTCGAAATCGCAACCATGTTCATATAAGCCAGAGAAACCACGGAATTCTACTTCGTCTCGCTCTTGCAAACGTTCAATATATTGCGTCATATATCCTTGCGGTCTTACACTAACTAAAATTTTAAATTCCATTTTTACGCTATTCCACCAATATGGTGAATACGGTCGTAAATGATGTTTGTGCTCGGTTGTATCGTTTGCTTGTTGCTTTGATATAAATTCAACCCGCATCATAACATGATCACCAGGGGTTAATGTTAAGGTACAATCATTCTCACTCTCTTTGGATTTGAAGTGTAACTCTAAAATATCGCTGACGTCCGATATATGTTTCTTCTTGCTTAACAGACGATAATATCTATAATTTCTAAGTACGTTGGTTTTGCCATTATCGTTCAATTTTACAATGATCTTAGGTTTCACATTTAAAATGCAGTTTGCACAACCGTTTCCGCAACAATCGTTTTCATTATATTCCATAATTTCAATAAACTTGCAAAATTTTGATAGAATTTAGTTAAAATTAGACTGAACTAACAAATAGTTCTTTATAGACTTTTTGAGATTTTGTTTAGGCTGCTAACACAATAAAACTTTACGCGCTTATTAGGCTTCACAGCCCGCAAATGATAATTACCAATTTTAAAAATTTTAGTTTATATAAATTTATAAGTTTATATAATATATATGAACATTTATAAAAAGTTTATAAATTAAATTTCTCCTCGAAGCGTAGGAAGATAAGTACGGCCCTATAATGTCAATCTCCGTAGGGTTTTGGTTTAACGAGGTGAATTTTTTTTAACGATTGGGAATAAGATTTTCATATGTTCAACTTTTATTACCACCTTTTTATGTAAAAAGCGCCGTCTCATTTGAGCCACGGCGCCATTCTTATTTTCGGATTGATACATCAACTTTACCGACTTATTACAAAACTTTATGGGAATTGACAAGTCATACGGTTTTGCAGCTAACATACGAATAAAATAAGAAGAAAAAAAAAAAGCACAAGAACAATTGATGATCGTGTTTTTTAAATTTTAAAGTTAGCTATCTAATTTGCGTTTATTTTGCACTAATATATTTTTTTTCTATTGTGGGATTTGGTGTTTTAATATTATATCATGCATTATTTCACAAGAAACGAAAAATAAGCAATAAAGGACAATTCATTTTAAAATTAAAGTATTTCCTCAAATTGTTTTATTAAAAAGTAATAAATAATAACCGGATTATGAAGATTAACATTATAATGTCTTTAATTTAGGCTAATGAATAAATTTTAAGATTAAGAATTTCCATTTTTGGAATTCCAAAATTTTAGATGATAAACAAAATCAATGACAAAATCGTAATCGCTTTGTTAAGACTCCAACGCGAGGCTAGGACGCCCAATGTACTTCAAATAAATTGTCCTTGCCCTTGAAAGACAGGCGTTGAAAATTTGTTTGTCTTCAGATAAAACTCCTTCAGGATATGGCTATAATAAATTGTTATGTAATTGTTATGTAATGGGAATGCTGCGTCATCTACCTATAACATCAAAACATTGCATTCTAGTACTGTGTAGTGTTCGTTTGTGGAATATCCGCTCAATGCGGAATTCTTTAAAACGCCTACATCACTTTGGGTCTTATAAGCTTCGATATTTGCAGCTGTGAAAGTACAATTTGCATCACAGATTCGTAACCACACCACTAAGAAATTACCTGCAGAAAAAATTTTATAAGATAATTTTATAATTATTCACTTCTTTGTTAACATAACTACTTATCTTCATAATTAGAAAAAGAAATCCAAGGTTGGAGGGACAACCAGCAGTAATGGCGAATGCAATTTGTTGCTGTTGTTTACGTTGATTTCTTTTTCCATTTTCCTGTAAAACAATATGGTAATGCGGCTGCCCATTGCTTTTATCACTTAGGAATTTTTAACCCGAACCCGAAAATAAAGCGTCATTGTGTTGGCCCCCTTAATTATCCAAGAAACATAAATACACTCCACTGTGCTTACCTTTTATCTTTCGTTGATGGCTATAATAGAAAATATGATGCGATGCATTACCATATCTAATAGGAAGGTCAAATATTAATAAGTTATATTTTGTTGTTGCACTTGGCAATATTAATCAGCTGGCACGTTTTGTGGTTTTGTTGTATCGATAACAAAAATTAAAAATACATATACAAATTATGCATTTGACTATACAAAAAAAGAAAAAATTTGCTAAAATTTCAAAGAATTTTGAGTAAGCTATAAAACTTAAAGTTTTATAGTACAAAGAAGATATATAGAAAATAATCTCAATTAAACCTCCGATAAAAGATGAATTTACAGGCTTTATTTAGAGATTTTAATCCCAGGTAAAACATAATTTGATAATTTTTACATATAGACTAGATAAAGGATATTTCATATATTATATTATTATTACAGCAAATTCATTGTACACTGCAGTTTATTTACATTTGTTACCTTATTCGCACTTAGATTAGATAGTTATATAGGTAAGTTTCCAAAATGCTTTTTGTTTATATTAAATAAACAAAAATTTGTGGACAGATTGGCCTTGGTGGGCTGTCTTTACACCGCTTTGGATATGGAAAAGTATAGCGGCTTTGGGAGCCACTGTAGGAGCGATTGTATGGTGCCGTTATCCACATTACAGGTTCTTCTTATTTACTTCGTAAATAATGTTCCAAGATAAATAGTAACAGTTTCTTGTACATTTTAGACTCGAAGGTGATTCCTATACACAGTTCAAAGCAATGTTAATATCATTGTCTTTGCATTTGATCTTACTCATGTTTGAATTATTGGCTTGCGATAATTTAACATCAAAACGTCATCTATGGGTATTAGTATTCATACCATTGATTTTTGGTTCAGTGGCTAGCGTGGGTGCTTGTGTATGGGCTGTTAAACATGATCGTTCCTTTGAATTGGAGTTATTTTTAGCCGTAAATGCTCTACAATTTGTATCACTTCCGCTAAAATTGGATCAATTTGTTGTCTGGAATTGGGAAGTAGTCTTCGTACCTATGTGGATTGTCATCTGCTTGAGTTTAGTTAGTAAGTAAAAAAGATAGTTCATTCAATAAGTATAAGAGCATCAAAAGTGAAACTTGCTTAACTTTTTCTAAGGTGTTTTATATAACATAATATTCTGCGGAATAATGATGCGTACACCAGAAATTTCATTGCAACAAAAGAAGGCTGCTTTAAACGCAGCCGTGGGTAATGTTTGTACAGTACTGCCTTTATTATTTTTTCAGGTACTTTTTATTACTTCTTTTTTGTCTTATTAGCTTTTATGCAAATTTATTATTACCTTCTTTAGGTGGTTATATGCGATAAACTTGAAGGTGACCTGAAATTTCCCTATATACTCATATTCTCACCCTTGCTGGTGTCCATATTTGCGCTGATCGTTTTGAGTTTCAGCGCAAAGGGAGGCAATAAATGGTGGTTTGGGATTCGTAAATCATTCAGTCAATTTTTACTTTCTGCAATGCCATTTCTGCAGGAATACGGCAATATATCATATCATGCCGACCATAACAATGCAGCACAATCACAACCTTTGGACGGTTCTTCAAGTACCGTTCATATGGACGACTTTGAAAAACATGACAAAAAAAGTAAAAAATCAGCAAAAAATGATTGCATGAAACCGGTGGTACCCATTATAAGTATAGATTTACCGGACTAAGAAGGCAAAGTCATAAATATATCAAAACATACTATTACATTTACGAAATAACAAATAGATATATATAAAGGCATTGTGTCTGTGTGCATCAAAAATGCGAATTTTATGTTCTTTATTTTAGTCCTTTTTTCAAGCAATTTGAAAACTGAAATCATGTTCCATTACTACGTAAACAACAAAGCTGTATTAGAAAAAAACTTAGAAAATTGGTAAAAGAAGAAATTTCTTATAATAAAAACGTGAAAAATGTATCGTGCATTACTATCCATTCGCAGATTCACTGGTAGAAAGAGGTAAGGAGAGGCTGCATAAAAGTCTTTACATCTTAGAGAGGTGCAGTCCGACTCACTATATGGGAATAGGATTAAATTACGTAAAATACATAAAGTTAATAATTTTAATGGATCTACTTAACTTTTATAAAATTATCGCATTACGGCATATACAGGACTACATCAGGGAAGAAATTCTTGATAACAAGCAGATATCCATGCCTTTGCTATTAATCAGCTAATTGTGTACGATATGATCCGTCATAATCCGTCCATTCGTCCGCCCGTCTGCCTGTTCTTGACGGATTTCCTTATGAAATTTTATCATTATGAATGTGTGTGTGTGTCATAATAATGTGTTTTAGAAAATATTTTTGTCGTTTTGTCATTATAATCTAAATTCATATACCATAATCTGCGTTTGACGAATATACGAGTATATCGCCAAAGACGTCGACACGGTTAACTGGTTAATATAAAAGTATGCATGCCACTGTTCTTCGCAAATGTTGGGACACCGTTATTAACCAAATTTTTCAATACATCTGCGAAATATGTTCCCTAATTTAGAATTGATGCTTGCTAAAACTCTTAATTATTAGCTTAATAACAGTCTATATTTTCAAATTTTTAAGTTATTTTTACGGCTATTTATACACTGTTTGCGACCATTTTTAATTTATTTGAGGGGAAAGACACAATCAGACAGGCTCGATTGCCTTTTTTAACCATGAGAATAATATATTTGCTAAAATAAAACAATGGTACAGAAGCAACTAGCAAGCTAAATGGATGCTATATATTATTTTTTGCTTTATTGAAAAAAAGTTCGTATTTTAAATTCATGCATTTACTTGCTCATTTAAATAAAACTGTATTCGTTAGATTTGTTGCATTAAAAAGGGTTTTGGTTAAAATAATTTTTCACACAAGTCAAGAAGACTAAAAGTCACTTCTGCTGATATTGTTTCCCAATAATATCCTTGCTGTGTATCGTGGGCTTGTATTCTCAATAATTTACCATTTAGTTGACTACGTTTACCTATTTCGCTGGTCAATAAAATAAATGATATTGGAGATTATTAATTAATTTATAAATATGTTGTCAAATTACCACAAACATTGTCTCTTGCTCCAAAAAAATCACTCTTCTTTTCTTTTGCCCTTTGCTTTAAACCATCCCTTAAAGAAATTTTTCCTTGTATTAATTTTGCGCTTCATTAAGGCTTGTTGAAACGAATTCTAATTACACGGTTACATTCGACAGTCTCCTCCCTATGAATAAGTGCGGTCAAATTCTACAATCAAAAAAATTCTAATCGGAAGAAGGAGAGATAACGACAAACAAAGGAATCAAATTTAAACGTACACTACCGTGCCAGCTGTTTTCCAAGTCAAGTTATATAAAAACGCCTTTCTACGCAAAGCAAATAACGGCTATAATTATAAAAACAAAAAAATACATGTTAGGAAATAATGTATGTCCGTATCCACACGGCCGGAGTGTTGTCCACGAAAATTGCTCATTCATAACAACAAATAAGAGACGAAAACAAATAACAGAGAGCCCATGAGCCAGGAATTAAACGTATAATTATTAGAATTAAATTACCAATGTCACCAATATGTACGTTTAAGTAAACAATCTCAATAGTAACTGTGTTGAAGAAACAGGTACATCGGATTTGTCTATAATGAAGCAACCGAAACAACAGGCATGGAGGCATTTTCAGAATGTATTTTATAATAACGTTATTGAAGTAACGGAAAATTGCAGATCACTGCAATGCATATGAAGGGAATGAAAGGGAAAATTTCGACTGAAATTTATTAACGCATTTGGGAAATATAAAATTTAGAAATCTTCAATATTAAATAAATGATGAAACATTAACTAATTATATTTTCTATTTAGTCTTTCGTTTTTTTTTTTTTTCTTCCATATGCACATTCAGTTCAAATCACACATTTTTCTGTTCATTTGCTTTATATACGTTTTAATGATGTCATATCAAAAAGCCATTAGCAGAATCTTTATCCACATAAATAATAAGGATGAAAGAGCAAGCAAGGCAACGAATGCTAATTAGCAGCGCTATTACTGTTGTCGATAATGGAAACACCAAAAGTCCTTGAGATCGTACTATCTCTTATTTTGTAACACTTCCTGGCATACACTGCTATGTAGATGTCTCTGATTATGTGTACTTGAAAGAGATGAAAGTATAGTTTAGAGATTATTGCATTACTAAGTGCATACGTGTTTAAATCTCAAGTGCCATCGAGTTTTTCGTACAGGCGAACATATGATCTAAGTTATCCGGCAGCCAAAAATCTCAAAGAAAATATATTTTCTGAATTCTTATTAAGAATCGTATGAAATCCCAAATAATATGCGATATACATATCATGATATACATATATCATGTACATATACATGATCACAAACCGAACAGAAGACGAATAATGGAAAATACCAACAATATATAATATAATTGTGTTTTTCGATAGCTCTTGATAACACTTTTCATTTCTACGCTGTTTTTTTTGCTGGCAACACTTTTTAGTATACATTTTATTTATGAGAGTTGTGTTGTGTGATAATTCAGAAATTTTCTTCTCTGCACATTTCAGGAATTTTGGTGGAATTTACAACGTTAAAAGTGTTTAATCATTGAATAATTTTTAAAACTGATAGCTGATTTACACATTGCAGATCTTCATAATTTTGCAGAGTTCTGCAGTAAGAACTTTTGTCGCTCCTACTAAATTTTTTTCTGTTAGTGTAGCTACGGACGAAAAAGAACAAGAGTAAGAACTTCAGTAAGTCTTTTTTTTTATTATAAAATTACAATAAAAGTCAGAGGTGAAGAAAAAAGAGTTATGGTTTCTTTTTCATAAAAGTCCAAAGTTAGTGTATTTTTGTTTGGTAAAAATTAATTATAAAAGATTTTATAGATATTTTTACTAGCATGAATATAACGCCAGGCGAGCCAGTGCCACCAGGCTTCGAAGATGAAGTGAACCGAGTGGCACAGATACAAGATACTGTTGACAAATATAAAGGCAATGCTTTAATCGGTTTGGAATATTCGCTGGAACTACATGAAGACAATCGCCATGAACCCGGTTATCTTTGTGTGTTATGCGATAAACGAGGTGATCCCCGCAGCATTATGCACCACTGGACTTCATTTAATCATCGTATGAAGTATTTAGAAAAACATTATCCATCAGCTGTTAAAGAATGTTTGCCGGTTAAATATAAGCCCAACTCTCATAATATTATGATTTTAATTGTACAATCTTTGGCTGAAGCTATTGAAGATCATCATGGTCGTTTATCTGTTACAGTGATGAGTGCTGACGAGTTTCGCCACAAAAAAAGCCATTATATGGAGGAGGTCAACAGTAAATATCACTTTAGCGAACGCAATGGGCCAAACTTCGTTGACGCCATAGACCGCACTCTATGGGAAAATAGGCCATTGAAAAGGAAAGATTCGAATGCTCAGATAACCATAAAAGCACCTAAACGTTTACATGAAATAAATGCAAATAATAAAAATGATTTGGATGAAATATCCAGTGATTCGGATAACGATAACAACAAAAATTGCAATAAAAAATCGAAACAACAAGAGCCAGCCTATCGCACTTTACCACGTGTAAGGCGCTCACCTCCTTTTGAAGAAGAGCGTGAGAAAAAGGTGGAAAAGAAACTTCCGACACCTAAGGAATTGTCATTGCAAGCCTCGCATATTGCGCAAGAACGTTACAAATGGGAAAAATATCGCTGTATGCTGGAGATTCAACTCAAACAGATGGAAAAAATACAACAAGATTATGAAAAGAATCCCGAAAAACACCCTTCATATCCCGAAGAATGGAAAAAGTTTTGGAATCGCCGTTATAAAGAGCTACAAACAGAAAAAAAAGTCGATCCTAATAAATATGATTATAAACCCGAATGGATTGTCTATTGGACGGCACGCATGAAAGAACTCTTTAATGTCGAAGTGGAGAAAAAGAAAAAGGAGATTAAAGTGAAACTTGGTCTACCAGAAGATGCCGAAGAGAAAGTGGATCAATTGAAAGAAAAATATAAAGTACCCGTTAATCGTACAATTGCTGTCAAAAAGATAAGCGAAGGAAGGGCTTCAGAAGATGTTATTGACATTAGTGACGACGATTCGCCAAAACGTTCGCGTCGCTCCCGCTCTCGTAGTCGCAGTCGTGACTATAAAAGATCGCGTTCGCGTTCGTTAAGTCCATTTTCTGATGACTATGAACTTAATAACAAACACTATAGTAACCATCGTCATCGTCCTACTAGGTCGAGGGGTTATAATGCAGGTTCAAACTCTTCTTCCGGTTTGAACGATTACTATGGATACACGCGTTCACGTTATACACCTACACATTATCCTAGTTCATCAACCCATTATCGAGTGCTCGATTCTCATAAAATACCTAAATATGAAGAGCGAAGCGATTTGAAGATATCATCAGTGACAAAAGAAACCAAAGAAGAGCCACCTAAAGACGAAGGACCTGAAGGTCCACTTACCGTGGTAGCAGTGTTACGCCTCCTAACTGCTCTCGAAGATCATTTGGGCAGTTTAGGGCCAAAAGTAGTTGATCTATTGGGAAAAGCTTTGGCTTTAGAAAAGGTCAAAGCGAATTCCTCAGATGATCTTGTGATGAATGAAGATCACTGTGTCTTTTTTGAAACAATTAAGGAAAAACTCAAGGGTCTGCTGATTGCCGATGTGCTCGACGATCAGCAAAAAGTGCGCGCCGTAAAAAAAGCCATTAAAAATATAGCAGCCCTCATTCATCAAGTAACCACTAAAGGTAAGCATTGATCACCGAACATCTAACAGAGTAAGTATGAATAATTTTTTAAATTGCTTTTACTTTGTTTATAAGTTTCTATTATGTTTTTCACATATATAATATATGTGTTCTTCGTAATTCAAAGTATGGTAGTCTTCAAGGAACGAGAGCAGGATTCTCGTTAAATTGCAGTGAAATCTCGAAAACTCACGGTTCTGTTAAATTCGTACACTTATTATTAGAAAAATCCACTTCTTTTTGTAATTTGAAGTGCAAGCAACTTTATACAAACGGATCATCTATTACTTTGCGTTTGATATCATTTAGCGCCTGCAAGTAGTTATTATTTAATAAATTCTAAACGAAATAATTGCAAAAAGGCAATATATATATATATATGCATATATAAAATGTGTGCGTGTGTGTGTGAGTGTGTGTATATATATATATATATATATATACATATATATATATAAGCATACAGTGATGAACAAAATTATTTGCGTATAATCAAGATCAAGATAAACAGATCTTAAAACGGATCCAACTACTAAATGATGAAATGAACTTACCTATAAGGAGCATACGAGCCTACAAGTGTAGAACATGGTGTCGATTGATATAGAAATGGGGTATGGTAAATGCCGGATTCTCCATTCAAATCTTTCATTGTGTGAAAGATTCTGCGCAATTGGTCCAATTGTTCCAAAAAAAAAAAAAAAAAAAGAACCAACTATTGTATTGTTTGCAGCGCCATAAAATGTTTTAAAAATTAAAAATGAAAGTTAAAAAAATTGTGCATGAAAAAAATACGTATAATCGTAAGTAACTTAAAAACAAAGGATTAAAATAAACGTAAATATGTGTCTGCTGAATGCTACTTGAAACTAATTGTTTGAAGTTTTGTTATGCGGATTATGGATCTAAAGGAAAAATAAAAACAATGTCCACTAATAAAGAGTAGAATGCGTTAAGGTCTAAGTTAAACGCGCATCTCTGACGAGACGAGATGAGATGCGAGTACATTGAATATATTCACATGATGAATATATGATTAGCAGAATATCAGCAAGGAGAAAATGAATCGTAAAATTAAGACTGAATGGGAGCAGCGCAGAACACACAGTCGACTAGGAGCAGTAAAATATGGCTGAAAGTATGTGAATTTATTTTCGAAAACAAATCGCTAGCAAGAGGCTTTAATAAAAAATTTAATAAAAAACAAAAAGAATATTGATGGAAAGGATTGGAAAAGCCAACCTAATATATCAACTTTCGGATATAATTTGAAAAGAAACGGAGAGAAAGCATTTTCATGTTAAACGAGGCAATATTTTGACAAATTGGATTATCAACCGATCAGATATTACAATATTTTTATATTATATTTTAATCGAACTTAAAATGTGATTTCTTCTTTGTTCAAAAAAAATGATGATGACGGACTATCATAATGGTTTAGGTTCCTCGTTCAGCTATTTGTTCATCTTTTCGGTGTTCTTTAAGATCATCTATTTCTTTTTTCCTTTAATAGTTTATTGAAATATTATCAATGTCTTTTCGGAAATCGACTTTTAATTGAATAATTTTGTCCATCACTGCCGTTGTGTGCTTAACAGAATCGTTGCTGTATTAACAAAATTGATTCGGTCCTATTTATGATGGTATGTCGCTTATTTGGCTACCAAAATAATTATCTACACAATTCTCGTTATCACTTATAAGTATCGAAGTAAACAATTGATTTCGGCAAAAAAGTTGTGTGTTGTGTGTACAAATTTTTAAATATAATTATTGTAAAAAAAAAAAGAAGTGATTTTTGTGGAATGGTTCTAAAATAAAAAGAAAAAATTAGGAAAAGTGGAAAACAAGTTTTGGTTCTCTTCAAAACTTCTCTTCGATCATTTTTGAAAGAAAGCTACCAAAATTTGATTGATTTTAAAAGCATTGATTTATTGCTTTTGAAATTCATTTAATAAGTGTATGTTTGTGCAAAAGTGTAAGTTTTGGAAATCAAAGGTTCGAAGGTGCAAAACAGTGTGTCGTACTAGGAAAAATCTATAAGTATACTAAAGATAATTACTTTGCAAATTCTTTAATCGTTTAATTACAAATTTTCTTGCGATATAATCATTTTTTCTACGGTTCTATAGGTCCGCAAACTGATTCAACTGTTCAAGCTGGCAATGAAAATAAAAAAAATCCCAAGGAATCGACAAAACAATCAACTAATTCTAAAGTTTCGTCGAGTGCAAGTATTAAAGATTTACCATTCGATCGTCAAGTGGTCGCAACGAAATTGGCAGCTTCACTTGTTATTCATGGACGTGAAGATGTCTCTACGGAAGATATGGATAAATTGATATTCATGTATATTTTAATGGTAAAGTTATCGAAATCGAAACGCGAAGTTGACGGCAAACCTATTTACACTAAAGATATATTATTGCAATTGGGTATTTCAACGTCAACACCGCCTGGCGTTGGCAATAAACCAACTAGTGCAGCTTTAGCCGCTCTGCCGGGCATAGTTGATGAGCTTTTTGAAAAAGAGCTGACAAGTCTGGTACAGGAAGTCGAAGAGGAAATCGATAATGAATCTATGGATAAAGAATCACGTAGTGATGGGAATAGTAATATGTTAGAATCTTTAACAGACTCAGATTTGCAAACGTTGTTGCAAAATTTCAAACATCTATCTAATGAGGAGCAGCATCATTTAATAGCCCATCTTAAGAAATTAGAATCAGCCGATCCTGCACGTGTCGAAAAGTTACGTAAATTTGTTAATTTCGCAGATATGATAGAAACTTCGAGGTCAACCACGGAATCGACGAAATCGAAAGAGACTCCGCCAGTAGCAGGTTCTCGGAGCAAAAATTTTAATTGTAATGATTCTCCGCCAGCCAACAGCAATAAGGACAAAATTACTGCCCCAGGTACTGAAGAAGACGAGCATCGTCGTCGTCCATTACAAGTTAATCCTAGTAAATTTGCTTTGGATGATGAGGAAGAGGAGGACGATGATTATAACTTCGAAGAAGTGTTTAAAGCAGCTTCTAGTAACGTTAACAGTTCATCGGAAGAGCATTTGCACCAATCGAATGAAAATAAAAGTTCAAAGAGTACTCACGAGGCAGTCGTTCCGGCAATATCTTCACCCACATCTTTGACTTTCAATCCGGCCGGCTTTAATATATCTCTTAATGATACCCAGAATCTTATAGCTAATATTATGGGCTCTTTGCAACAAAGCAATTCTGGTCCAAAATGTACCACTGGCAATAATCATAATAATAATAATAAATCACCTACAGTACCGAAACCTGTACCAGCCGTACCTATACAGCCACAGCCCGTGCCACCAATTGCACCAGCGGCATCCAAGATTAAGGAGACCAATATTGGTGGCGGCGCTGGTGGTAGCAATGATAGCGGTGATCGTGATGCCAGCAGTGCCATTGGCAATCGAGAACGGATGTTGCCTCAAAATATGTCCAATATGCCGTACTATCCTCACCAACAACAGGAAACTACGCCTTATAATTACAATCAAATGAATAATCCTGGATACTATAATATGATGCCTACTGGACCTGTAGGGGGCTATAATCAAAATGCATACGCTCCTGGCTATCAGCAATGGGATAACGGACCACCGCAAATGCAATCATTTGGTGTGCAAGGCTTCAGTATGCCATCTCATCCTCAACCCAATCAACCGATGGGTTACAATATGTATGGACAAGGTGGTAATTGAATTAAATTATTCTTCTCACGAAAATCAACTGTTCACAATGGAGATAATAATCATCTCCATTTATATTCATGTACTGATGAAATAAAGTTTTATTTTTTCACTTTTTAGTTTAGAAAAAAAGACAGTTTTAGGTTTTTTTTTTTTTTGAATAACTTGTGTGTGTGTGTATTATACAAATATGAGTATGTATTATAAAAATATGAGTAGAAGAAAGCCGAGAGTCGATGATTTAACGAATTCTGCATTTTTAATAAACAAAGTTTAATAAAAGTACTTAAAAATATATATATTTTTGCATAGTAAACGACTTACGCGTGCAAAACATACATACATCTAAATAATAAATAATGTTTATAAATGAGGAAATTTTGCATAAATAATACGTTTCGCGTAGCGCCTACTTCTTCTTAAGATAGACTTGTAAATACCTAAAAGAAATAAAAGCCTATCATATTTCTTATTTTATTTGCAATTTATTAATATTTATTATTCACATGTATATATATATGTATATGTATATGTATATGGGATATATCAAAAAGAAGCAGGAGCACGGGCAGGATAAGAACAGAAGTACAGAAGTCTAAGGAAGTATAGTATTACGCATACAATTTAATTAAATGAAAACCAATGTATTAGAAGATCAGATTTGTTTGCTTACCTTGTTCATTTATATGCTATTCGATTTCCCGTAGAGAATATATGACGTTTGTGAGATCCATGCCTTACGCCGAGAAGGACTTAAAACAGATTCATCTTTTAGTCTATCGAATCCGAATTGTTTTCCTCAGTCATTTAAAGCTTGTCTGTCTCTCTGATGTTGGCCCATCTATTTTTATCTTCAACTTAGAGATCACATTTATTGGGATATTCCCGCACATTTAGCTACACTCGACTCGTTTTGACGCATTAATAAACGCTATTGAAAATGGATTGTGCTATTTTTATGAAAAAAATCGATAGAACCAAGTGCGTTGGTGGACAAAATAAAAATTTGGAAAATATCTTTTGACAGGTAAGCCTTTGTATGGTGAAAAACTAACACTTTACGCATTAATCCAAGTTTGTGAACGCCATAACATATTAGAGATCTCAAGAAGCGACGACAACATTCTATCCTTAGATCTTCGATAAGAAAATTAAATTTATTGTATTTGGCAGCCAACATTGCCCGAACAACGAGCCCACTTTCATATAAAGGTTCTTTTTTATGGAAGCAAGATACGATGCTCTATATGAAATCACAAAAATGAATGAGGAATTGTATTATGCGAAGCGATGCATGCTACTTGACTATGATATTTTTCCTTGTATGATTATAAAACCCCATCACTTTAACCATCAATTAAGCAGCTAACTATTTAAGGCAAACGTAAAAAGCAGTTATCTGCTCTTCGACATGCCCTCTATTTTTTATTAAACTGGTAAATTGTTTATACCTATAAAATATCTTTTTATATATGCAAATAATACTACAGCCGTCGTCATAGTTAAGTATTTGCACAAAATCGAAGTAATATTTTAAACTCTTCTAGATTTTCGGATGTTTTCTAGTCAGCTGAAAACCTTTTCAGGCATTTGAATAGCAAAATTGAGTTGGAAATCGTTTTACTTTTATTTGAGTATAAATGTTTGCTTAAATCATTTGTCTGTTTCGTAAGACAAATCTCGTTAGAATCGCCATTCGAATGGTAGATTGGTTTCGAGATGAATTTAATTAAAATTTTCTTATAAATGAAATCGGAAAAAGTTTATCTAAGCGCCATCTAGTGGTTTCTAGTTAACCATAGTTTGACGCTTTCGGGCTTTCCCTAGGCGTATCCAGCTAGTCCTTAAGCTCTTCAAACCTTGAACCTTGCTATTGGCAATTTTCGATGGATTGTCAGGTTCGCTCTGTCTAACGGCTTCGTTTGGATCGTCGCGGCAATTGCATCCACCAGCTGGATGCAACTGCAACTTTATTGATATTTCTTTGTGGCTTGTTGTAGTATTGGACTTTCGCAACAACATTCGAACGAATATATTGTCGCAATCATGGAAACTGTAAGGATGATTTCGCACACATTTTAATTATGAGCTATACGAACTTATCGAAAGACATCTTTGTAAACATTGGATCCAGCCGTTCATTTCGACTAAATTTGTGATCTTTCTCTCTAATGTAGGTATTTGCAAATCATGAAGCAGTGCGCTTAAATAGCACGTAAAATTTTTCCCATTGCATTCAAGCAAGTGTTGTTTGCCTGCGCAAACGTGAACCATTTTTTTATAAATCTAAAAGTAAGCGTTTAGGTTAATAAATAAGAAAATACTTCTTAGAAAATATTTTATTTTGGTCCGCCTTCTATAGCGTCATTGGGAGCCTGCGATGCAAGTCACACTTTTATAATTGTGGATATTGAAGCTTGCTTTTGCTTGCAAAGTAATGGAAGTGTTCTTAAGAAATTCCGTACCTGGACGACGCTTATTTACCAATAAATCGAATCTTCCCCACCTGGATACTTTACCGGACAGGAATATATAAAGAGTTATTATATTTACTATTAATTGTTCGGTGACTTGGAAGTTAATCTTTAATATAATGCACTTTAATAAAACAATTTGGAAATTAACTTTTAAATTGATTAATAAAGCATCTTTATTGAGTTTTCATTTCTTGGAAAATAATGCATGGTATAAATTGAAATTCTATATGATATAATAACAAGCCTGAAAGTTTTATTCGGCAGGGGCCGAATCTCGCATGCCCACCACCATTAAAATTTTTGGGATGAAATTCATCTGTCATCTCTCCTCATCGCTAAAAAGTTGATGTTAAGAATAATTAATCTATCGCGTTGGGACGCGATAATTCTATTCTAAATAATAATTTTAGAATGGACGCATCTAACTTATCGCCTTCCACTCTGCAAGTCCTTTTAAAGTGGTATCTATATCGCTGGTTAATAATATCAGATAAAAAATTAATCCGTTAGGTCGTGGTGTTCAAAAACGGCTAAGCTCTTATTGTCCGTTTGTACTTTTCTCCGCAATCTGTCACACGACAAACATATGCAACTCGTGCAATTGCTGTTGTATCAATTGCAACGTCTCCATCGGCCTTTTAATTGATTGATGGAGAAGGAAACTAATTTCTAAATTTAAAATTGATTTTATTTATCCTGGCCAACCAAAATTATTTTCGATTTTTAAATATTCGTCGTTCGTACAATATTCGAATATTGCCCGAGATCAATGCCAAGCAAAGAGAATATCGATGTTTTCCATTGGAACTTGCCGATCAATACGAGTTCCTGTGTCCACTGCGCTTTCAAAACTATTCAATTTATATCATATGATAACTAGGATAAATGATTCATTTAATAATCAATATCATAAATATGTCTGTCTTCCTATTAATACTTTTACTATTGTTACTATTATTATTATTATTATTATTATTATTATTACTATTATTATCATCATCATAATTCATTCAGCCAGAGAAATAAATTTGAAGACTAAAGTCTTAAAGCACGAGCATTTAAGGCTATCGGCTCCATTAAAAACTCCAACACAGTTAAGATTTGTATCCATAACCATTGAGTTGTTAGTCGAGATTCCTTGCTTTCCGTCACTTAGGCGAATAGGTTGGAAGGAGAGCAAACTAGCACTTTCATATATAAGGATGTAGAAAGTAATAATAAAATAACGTTACATATTTAAATAAAACTTCTTTTATAGGGTGTAGAAAGAAAAAAAGAAGATTTATTAACTTATATTATTATATTAAATTACACAAAAGTATGTTAAAAAAAAGCAAGTCCTCAGAAATTGCAAGTCCGACGAAAAGGCGAAGGAAGAAAACATAATGAGGCCGGATTATTCAGGTTAACTAAAAGGAAAAGACGAATAGAAAAGATCTAGAGAATAAGATCTAATAACCAGGCCAGTTGGTGAAATCAGATTGCAAAAAAAGGACAATTAAGAATCCAGCGATTAAAATAGCAAAAAATGAACTTGTTGGAGGCACAACAAACTTATTAACCGTAATTCAAACTCATTATTCGGAAATAGATAACACGATAACAGATTTAAATATTAATTAAATTTCAAATATATCTTTGTCACAATTCTATAGGAGAAAAATGAAAATTTAGGCTCGCGCACCCACAACAATTATTGCGCTAAACATCAAACCATTCTTTGGCTCACAGCTATAATGGCACAGCGTAAGGAATACGAAAATAATGTATTCTGAAGGTTAGATGTGTTAGAAGAATAATAAGCAGAAATTATTTGATATAGGCATAAAAGGCATAAAAGGCTAGTAATTGAAATAAAATTCATTTTTGTAATATTGAGAGGATATTGGTCCATTTGGAAATATATTTTAAAGTACTTTATGTTGATGGGGCCAGGGATAAAACGATTTCGTTTGATAAACTGAACGCAATGAACGCTTTCGGATTGAATGTTATTGTAATCGAATCAAGATCACAAATGTTGGCATGTGGGCATGCCATAATTTTCAGGAATTCTATGATAACGACGGGAAGAACATATGCTTAGAAAAATGTAATTTCAAGCAAAAAAGCCATGTCCTATCCAGAGGCACTAAAATTATTGAATCATTGTCTTTAAACAAATCGTAAGCGAATTATTTATTTGTCCCAAGATATCTTTAATGAACGGCAATTTTTATTTAAGAATTTATTAAATCAGGATGCGCTAGAAAACTTATTCATTCTTTATCATTCCCCTTTAAAACATTTGTCAACTCATCTTATCTTAATAAAAATTCTTAGAAACAAATTCGTGCAAAGGAAAATTGGAAGAAAAACAAATATGAAATGTCAGACTGAATCGTTCATTTCGATCTAGGTTTATTAGACATTGTAACGTGAACAGTTTTTTGTGATTTTCGCGTACTTATTGAACTCATCTTGAGGTTAAATTTGTCCCACTGAGGGGTGATTTGTAAATTTGCGCGCGTTTTATTTAAAACTCTTAGACGCTCTATTTACAAATCGAGAGTGGTTTCATAGATATAATTGTGCAAGCGTATTAGAGATATGACCATTAAAAATATTTTAAAATAACCGGGAGAGGACTGTCAAGAATGTAAATTTCGTATCCGACTTTATCTTAGCAGTATACAACAACTGAACATAATTTAGCTTTTTCGGAAAAGTTTGCATTTAATTGCAGATTTAGAAAATACTATATATTTTGTTTACTTTCTTCTTATTATTAATATCGTTGTTATTACCACGTTATTTTTGTATAATGATAACACTGGTTAACGATGCATAGACCTGGAATACTTTTCACAGACACAAGTGTTTTAAATTAACATCCCGCCGCCTTGTGCAATACTTTTTGCGTGGTATGCTAAATTGCGAAATTTTTAAATCAAATTTGTTTCAGTACATTTTTTCCAGTGAATTTTTTTTTCAAGACTAGCGTGTACGCCATTTAATGGTAGGCTGCGATTCACTATAGTATTTTCACTTCTTTAAGGCATATTTTTGTAAATTTTGTTACTTCATATCACCCATATCATCCATAACTCAACTAAAGAATTTACTGCACGAAATTGCAGTAGTATTAATAGCTTCACTTAATTAAGTGAAGTAAATGGAAAATGACAAAGAATCGCTCGTCTTTTATTTATTTATTTTCATTTCTCTATAGAACATCTTTAAAAAGACCTTTGCATAAAAATAAGACTACCACCAATTTTGTTATTGTATGGTTAATCAAAATAAGACAAAAACCAAGGAATGCTTCTCTCCTGTCGATTTAAAGCCAAATTTTGTTTGGATAGGGAAAAATTCAACACTATTATTATTCAAAGATTAATAATAAAGTTAGCAGCACTGCACGATTATATGCATTCGCTCTGACGACCAGCTGTTTCTAAATACAAGTACTGCGACTGTTTTCCGTTTTGCCGTAAACAAAAAAAGTATGTAATAATAGGGAAACTTTGATTTCTTATTCGTAAAAGGGGTCAAAATTGATATAAAAATATTTTATAGATTAAAGCTTCTATCTATATTATCAGCAAATGAGATTTTTCGAAAAATCCTAAAGTAAAGTATTGTAAAAGAGAAGGAGTAATAGTTTTCCCAATGTATCACTTATTTCCTAAAATTAATACTTACTTAAATTGCAGCGCCGGTGACAAATTACAATGCGTGTAGCAATCTGGGAGGTGTTTCGTGCAATTCTCCGTTCTGTTTTCTGTCAGAAAAATTGAAGTGAATCATATATTTTCTTTATAACTAAATAAATATTTAAGAAGCAATGGCTGCTACTCTCAAATTATATTTAACTGCCGTACGTCACTCGCTAACAGCGGCAATGTGCTTGCAGAACTTTGCTTCCCAAGTAGTAGAGCGTCACAACAAACCAGAAGTAGAGGTCTGCTCGAGCAAAGAACTGATTTTAACACCAATATTGATATCACGTAATGAACGTGAACGGGTCCTCATTGAACCCTCGATCAATTCGGTACGTGTTAGTATCGCGGTTAAGCAAGCGGATGAAATTGAGAAAATATTATGCCACAAATTCACACGGTTTATGATGCGTCGGGCAGAATCTTTTATTGTTCTAAGACGAAAACCCATTGATAGTTACGATATAAGCTTTTTGATAACGAATTTCCACACAGAGCAGATGTATAAACACAAATTGGTGGATTTTGTCATTAGTTTCATGGAAGAGATCGATAAAGAAATTAGCGAAATGAAATTGGCCGTGAATGCTCGTGCGCGTACTTGTGCAGAAGAATTCTTAAAAAGATTTTAAAAAATTCCATTGAATGTATTTCTTAAATAATTATAAGCAAAGAAATAATTTTTGTATTACTTTAGTATTTAATAAATGCCATATGTTATGTTAACAAATCTAAAGGCTCAGTATACAGGAGGAAATTTGCGATTACTTTGATGGTGGCACATTTCCCACCCAAAGCAGTACAACGGAATTTTCATAATCCACAAATCTTTCTGTTTCCTTAACTTGCTTCTTAGTCTCTTCTTCATCCTGTGTTATTTCTACAAAGTGGTGCTGACCCGAGCTAGTCTTCTTCTTTAGAATTACTAGAGGGTAAAACTTTACCAGGTGTTCAAGCAGTAAGTGATGCCTAGAGTTTATGATTTCAATTAAATTTAAAAAGTTAATATAACGATGTCCGGCCAATTTTTATGAAATTTGATACTCTGACGTGGTCCAGCCCAAGGACGAACACTTTTGAAAATTATACGAAGTGCACCGTTTTTTTGACCACACCCTACACCTTATTTTGCTAATTTATAATAGTAAAAAACATTGTAGCTTTTAGAATTTCGGGACTAAAATCGCGTAGTATTCCGGCATTTTAAATTGTTGCGGAAACTTTAGATCGAAAGATGTAGAGGTCTTTGAATATTTCGAGCAATTGCACGATACTTCCAAGGACAAACGCTTGGACAAATTACTAAATGGCCAAAAATCGCTGAAAAGAGTACTGTAAACTTTATAATGATGAAATTTTAATAAACTCTGAACAGGATTGTCGATCTGACGTGAAATCTGATTCACTCTTAAAGAAGCGAGGACTTGGTGATATGATTAAAAAACAACCGAATACCATAAACGAGGACAGTAGCATGCATAAAACTGAAGATACGTTAACCTCGAATCTTACTTTGGATCAATACAATGCTCAACAAGAAAGGTGCTACCTGGAACATCTGAAAATATTACAAGAAAATCTTAAAATTCAAGAGCGTGCCATTGAAATACAAAATCAATTATTGCAAGAATTAATAAAACGGTTTCCAACTTAGCAAACTTAGTTTTTAGTAACTTATTTTCATTTTTCGTATTATGTTCAACTGCTGTAAGGTAATTCAGAAAAATCTAACTTTTGATCTTTGAATATAGGCTGTAGCTCCTGTTGCAATAAGTCGTGCAAAGTCTCATCATCGTGACGATAAAGCCATTTACCCTTTTCGCCGGTTTTGGGACCTACAAAATCGTAGCGCTTTGGTCCACTAAAGGGTGAACTTAACCAAATTTGTCTGTTGGGCGTCTGACGATTGATAACATAGACGCCGTGTTTAGGGCCTAAGTTAACAGTTAACACACCATCCTGTAAAGGAGATACCATTCGATGAACTTTGAAATTTTTCTTAAGTCATTGCACTTACACTATAACCTATGTCACTGCCCGGTAAATAATCTACAGTTTCTACTAGGCGTTCCATATATTCGTTGAGGGCGTCCAGTGTCGTAGCGCATACTTTTTCATAAGTAGACTGATCGAGAACAGAATCCACAATGTGTTCGACGGATTTATCCGTAGATAGATATCTATAGTGGTTACGTAAGGCTGTGAGCGGAGTGTGGCGTAGTTGGGTATATACATTATAACTTCTTTGTGGTAATTTTGTAAAATTCTTTGAGTTTATATAAATATATCGCCATGAACGGCGAAAGTGTATTCCTCTGAACATTTTATTTTTACTTATGAGAACATCTGATTCTATTTATTACAACGAAAAAATTTAAACTTAGGCAACTCTTCAATGCTTTTGCTTATTATAATCGATTATTTATCGGCGTGCTTGACGTTTAATGATTATTTTTCCGTGATTCTGTGGTTGAATTACATTTATAAAAGCAACATAGCTTTTTATGTTCAATAAAAATACCGATTTGATTCAGTAACATTATGTCTCTACCAAGCAATTATAAACAAATTGCTGTAGCTACGACATCTTCTTCGTCTACATCAGGTGGCAGTGGAAGCGGTAGATCTCGTTCTTCGGGAGCTGGTGGTGGGTCCGATCGTAGCAAGGATAATACACCCATTTTCACCCATAGTAATCACGCTAATCCGGCATTCACTCCCCAAAAGGCCGGGAAATCTTCCAGTTCTAAAAATCAAGCTGAGTCGCGAGCGCCAAAACCACCGAAACCACCAGAAAAACCTATTCTGCCGTATATGCGATATTCGAAGAAAATTTGGGACAGTGTCAAAGCTCAACATCCCGATTTGAAATTATGGGAATTGGGTAAAAAAATCGGCGCCATGTGGAAACAACTCACGGACACAGAGAAACAAGAGTTTATAGACGAGTATGAAGCAGACAAACTAGAATATGAGAAAGCATTGAAGGCTTATCATAACTCACCAGCCTATCAAGCATATTTAGCCGCTAAGAGTAAAGTAAAAGCTGATGGCGACATTCATGAAACACCTTCGCGTGGAGCGGGTGGCAAGGGTCAACAAGAGAGACGTATAGATATACAACCAGCAGAGGATGAAGACGATCAAGATGAGGGCTATTCTTTTAAACATGTAGCTTACGCCCGTTACTTACGCAATCATCGGCTAATCAATGAAATATTTTCGGATGCGGTGGTGCCCGATGTGCGTTCAGTGGTTACCACACACCGTATGCAAGTACTTAAACGTCAAGTAAGTTCATTGACTATGCATCAGACAAAACTCGAAGCTGAATTACAGCAAATGGAGGAAAAATTTGAGGCTAAAAAGCAACGTATGATCGAATCTAGTTTAGCTTTTCAGGAAGAGCTAAAGCGGCATTGTAAACCAGCGGTGGATGAAGAAACATTTCAGAAAATGGTTCAGCGAATGTATGAAGAAATGAAAAAAGAACGCCAACGCTTAGAAGAGCCAAATTCGATAACGCTGGCAGGAAATAGATCGGATAATAAGCCACCTTTAATTGGGCCGGCTGTACCAACAAGCGGTCCCCCACCTAATGCGGAGCCGAAGAAAGACGTAAATCCAAGTGTTTCGGCTTCACTCACTAAGCCCATTCATGAATCGAGTAGTAAAACTGAACCTGAACCAATGGATATTGAACCACCGGCTAAACTAACTGCGCCTATTCCTCCTAAATTAGCTGAACAGAAGCCTAATGAGATATTGCCGAAGGGAGTTAAGGTGGGACCTGAAGTGGAATTAAGAAACAAAGAATCAATAATTAAAAATAAAATTTCAAACGTTAAGGCCGCAACTGCCACTCCCCTTCCGCCTGCGAGTACATCAGGTGAACAACAGCCACAATCCATGATGGCGCCAGCAATATCCGCTGCACATTTGCCGACTTCAGCAAATTCTAACGTAGCTCCGATTCAAGTAGCCCCTACAGCTTCAATACCAACTTCGCATACCACACCCCAAACTCAGCAGATTCCTCCAACTATGCCTATGCATCCACATCCACCGCCACCTCCCCCACATGCTCCTCATTTATCACCTCATATGAGTCCACATCAGCCGCCAATGAGTGCCATGTCACCGCATGGAGCTTATCCATCTTATGGGGCGCCACCTGGCGGAACTACTCGTTCACCGTACTATCAACCTCAATACGGAGCTCATCCACCACAACAACCTTATGGTCAGTATGCACCATATTCACATTACCAGCAACCTTATGGACCACCACCAGGATCTCATTATATAAACTCTAGGCCACCGCCCCAGCACAATAGCGCCTCTGTGCATTACGCTGAACACGGAGGGCCACCAGTACCTCAACAACAAACTGCACCGCCTGGTCATATGGCACCCCACGATGTTTACGCTCCGTTAACGGCGGCACACAACTCTTTACCATCGCAACAACAACCAGTACCGGCATCAGGACCTTCAGTTCCAACTATGCCTGGCAGTGCGAATTCGTCTAGTGCTCCTCCCTTACCGAGTGGAGAAAATATGCAGTCTGCTGACAATGAGGATAGTAAGAATGAATAAAGACGTAATATTCCATTCTTTCATGACAAGTAACTTAACAATCAGTAATTTAATAAGCAAGTTTTAAAATGTCTATGTTTCTTATAATTAATAAAGGCAATTATCAATATTCGCTTGAATACATGCGTGTAATAGATTAAATTTAATATGCAGATTTTCTCTATTGTAATGTTCAGATGAGTACATTCTTCTTCATACGAAAAAAAAGCTTTTTCTCCTTTCCATTTATATATTTCGCTAAGTCTTCCTCTTCGGAATGCTAAATGCATGTATGTTTTCATGATTTGTAATGGTTACGTATATGCAACAAGTTGCGGCTAAGGCAATTTCAAATTCTTTTAATTAACTAATACAGAATAGGAATTCTCTGTATATTAGTGTATGTACCACTACAAAGATTGGTTGTGCGGAAATTAAATCAAATGAAATTAATTATACGAACTACCATGAACATTGTTTTTCGTCGGAAGCGCTATTAATGACTTCTAGAAAATACTGCTCGCTGCTTCTTTTAAACCATGCGTAAATTCAAATATCATCCAAATATTATTTTAATTTAAAGTAACCAAATTACGTGTTCAGTCCTGTAAGCAAAGTAAAGTTCTACTCCTTACTCACAGGTATGCTTCTACAATTACCCGAAGATGTACGAAAGTGCCTGCTAATTAATTTAATAAAAATACTTTAAGAATCGCTTTACAAATACCTAACTACTAATACTTAATCCAATATTTTCGAATTTGTTTTGCTATTCATGCGAATTTATATCGGAAACTATCTACTAAAAAATTTATAAATAAAGAAACATCTCGTGTAATGTGTAGATTTTATCCCTCGGTTACTTTGGTTTCATCTTTACCACAAAGTTATTAATAATGAAACTAAAATATAGCAAAAATGTGAAACATACAAATATGGTTATGAAAAAAAATTAAATTTATGTTATTTTTTATTAATATGTTTTCATTTCGGAAATCGTGGCGATTTTTCGAACAATCTTGGTTAAGAAAGATCGAAAATACTGTAAATTCTAAATATATTTAATTATCCATTTTTTACACAATTGATAGGAATAAATAATAACAGAAGAATTTTCTGTCAGTCAATTTTTATCATATTCACTTATAAAGACCTACGTCTCACTATCCTACGTCTTTACCGTGGCGGCATTTAACAGCCGCAAAAAAGACGAGAGTGCAAAAAATTGTCCCCTATTTTTTGGCGACTATTTTAGTAATTGTTTTGATAAATAAGGTTCTTTATAATTTGTGCTAAAATGTATCATCGACAAAATGTTTTTATCAGTCAACTGAAGTGTATAATGGTCAATGGGCAATCATATCTAAAATTTAGGCGAGTGCTTACTAATGGCAATACTACAGTCGGCTGTTTTATTTGCAAAAGCGTTTGTCATATCCTATGGTGAAGTTTGATTCGTTTTTTCATTTGATTCAGTTCGTATTTTTGGTTTAATTCCCCTTTTTTTATTAACTTATTAAATTGAATAAAAAATTCGTTCAGATAAATTAAAAATCACAAAAAGTACAGTTGAAGAATCTGTACTGAAAATTTTGTGAATGATGCACAAGTGAAGAGTGAAAAAAAAGCGCAACGTATGAAGTAAAAAATATTTGTTGTTTGTATGTGCAATAAAAACAGCACATAGCTAAACAAAGCGATATCAAGAAGTGCCAGCACAAAGCATAGATCGAAAAGAAACGCGCCTTTACCTTTTGGCTACTCATTCGCTCATTGAATTATTTTACAACGTTTTATCGTTCGTTTGTGGTCGTTTTTAACGCGTTGTGGTTTTTCTTTGAATTTAGGCTTCATAAAGGGCTAACTTTCAATGCAGAAATTATTTCCGTTTTCTCTTTTTTAATCCTTAATTTGATTTATTTTCAAAAAGTACATTTCGTAAAGACATTTAAATTTCCCTTCGTTCTATATCCAAAAAGTTTATACTTTGATACATATAATTAACGAAAGGTAAGTACCAAGAAAAAAAATTACACCCAGCGTGAAAGTTGTACAGTAAACGAGAAAAGAAATATTAACAAGCCAAGCAACGTAAACTACAGTATGAGAACAGGGTTTAACAGGCTTAATTACTTTTATAAGAGGAAATAATTGTTCTATGCTGGAATATGCTTAAGAGTGAGTCATTTTAGCAAGCATTGCCGGTTTTAAATTCTTTGTCCTCTCCCTACACCCTGTTCTTATTTGCTTGTGCTCACAGCACCTAAACCGTGTTTTGCTTTGTGGCAGTTGACAATTTTGACATTGTTTTACGTTTTGCTTTTCTACTACTATTCGTAAGTTGAGTCAGAGTTAGGGATGCCGAATGAATTTTTGATAGTTGCTCTCTAAAGTTTACACTTATAAAAATCAGTGGCAGAACGATTTCATTTCGTTTTCTCAAACTTTCTTACTTTTGACCAGCATTTATAAAATAAATTAATTTGTTTATACATACTGCTTATTTCAAAGTCCTTTGAAATGAAAACGATCCTATCCTCAAAGTTTAATTTTTATAACCGTCGACGGGATATAACTCTGCATTAATTTTGCGCTTCATTCTCTAAGTACGCAAGTATACATAATATTAACTAAGCCGAATGCTAAGTGCATTTATAACACACATCTTATGTTACCAGAATTGTTAGAAATATCGGTACTACTGTTTGCATTTACGCAAATGGAAACAATTATACTTTATATGTATAGTATAGTAGTTATCAATTTTACAAAATACTTCAAAATGCTGGAGCCTGTCCCGTCTATGAATTTTCGAAACCTAAACATTTTAGATCTGCTCTAGATAGATCTTTTGTTCAATTTATAAACATTGTAGTTTGTTATTTTCCTTAGTAAATAATGATATTTTTTTATAATTGCATCAACAAGTGAAATAAACGTCATCAGACTATATACAAGATTTTCAGCAATTTTATGCCAATTTAAAGAACTGCATAAATATACAAAAAATTTCTCAAATACCGTATACTCTTCAGTAGTAGTTTCTATTATTGTAATAGATGAAAATTAAAACGCAGTCGATAAGGTTTTTTGCAAAAAAAAGTTGAAAATTTACTTAATTTAAGCCAGCTTTTCTCTCTATCCATCCTATTGTTATGGATGATATTGAAGTTTATTGTGCATCTCATTTACATTGGCTGCAACATGTATAACGGGATCTGTTAAATATAAATTGATCGTCAACTGTTGATTTAACAGTACTTGTCAATATCGTATGTTATTTTAACTTCCACATTCCGGAAAATAGGAGTGCAAAATTGTATTCCTATTTTGTGAACGAAACAGAAATTGTATTAATGGAGGCGGGAGATTTAGGTATTGGAAGAAAATAGAAAACTATGTGTATACAATGCATATAGTGCTGACGAATATTTAGGTTATAGGTGCACATGTTATGGGTGTAACATTTATGGCTCTATATGGCAGATTGTAAGGGAAATATTTTTTTTTATAACACACATATTTAAGCGGACTTCAAGAAAACCATATATATGATACAGACTATTGGGAGATTTTACTGTGGTCTTTAATATCCCCTGAGGCGATAGATGTGAAAAGTCTATATAGCATGGCTAATTTATGATTTACAACATATACGAAAGATAAAAAAAATATATATATATATACAAATATATATGTATATATATATAATATATAAAATATATTAGGAAAAAATGCTTGGCTCAAAGTTGAATTTTAACGACAGTTTAACTAAAAAGAGATTATTTATAAAAGAGCTCTCTTTCTCTTGATATGAACTCATTAATGCATATACATGAACTTTTGAATCATACCCATGAATTTGCATATGTATGCGAAGTTCTGTTTTTTTTTTCATATTTATTAGTTACTTTTTCTCTCCAAATGGCCATATTGGTTAATTATCTGTGTGAGTGCGTATAAGAATAAAAAGCATACATGCACACCGCATGCCATGTTGCCGTATAATCTCTCTAATACTTGGAACTTTGAACATCGTTTTTAAAAGTCCCTATTTAAGATCATTATCTTCGTTTAACACATGATCAAGGTATGCGTGTTTAGGAGTATAATTAAAATCAAGGCAATAGTGATAAAATTTATACGTGTATTAAATTTATATATTTATTTATTGATACTTTCTGTCAAAGGATAGGATCGTACCATTTTTATGATTCTTTTGAAAAAAAAAAAACCGGTATGAAGCCCGTATATTCTCGACGTTCGCACAATTCTGAATCAATTACATATGCAGAGAAAATTTCTATACTACACGATACGGGATTACCATAGAAAATGACCCCAGTTGGCCTACGGCACGATGAAAAATGTGTTCGCTATTCATATATTTACATTATGTGTACATTTCAGGTTTATTCAAGATCAAAAAACTTTCGTACTTACTACAACCGTTACTCAATAGTAAGTTTTATCAATTTTCTAAATCCTTGTATTGGAAATACGCAGCAGATACTCCAAAATAAGTAGATATTCTGTAAGCCAGTACGAAATTTTTGTGTCAATTTGGCCATTCATCTTGTCGTTATTAAAATTTTTCAAAATAGCGTTAACTGATACTTCGCACTTATAACTCTCACTTGAACTTGATATTTTTGATCTAAAAGTGATACTTAATCCTCTTATAAGAACTCAGTGACAAACTGAAATAATTGTACAAATCTACTTCTATCGATAGTCTACAAACAGATAGTAGGTGTTGATAACATATTTAATAGAGTTCTATAAGTAATAAGGAATTAGATCGACTTCCGGTTTAATGTTGACAATCAATCCTTAACAAGCGCACGGCTTAATATGAGATTCAAGGACTCTTAGTTGACGGGTATCCGAGATTCGTCGTAAAGCGGATTTATGGTTCTTACTTATTATTTAATAAATGTTAAAAAAAATGTTAAAAAAAGAAAGGAAAAAAAGTAGTAAATATTAACAGAAAAAGAAAGAAAAAGTTCTTTTTATACATGAAATGTTGACGAGATTTATAGCAACCACTGCTTATCTTGGTTCAACTTTCATTAGTTATATTTATTTTTATCTCAAAGAAAAAACG